ATATCACATGATTATCACACCTATATCACACCCAAATCGTGTTGATATAAGCGATAATGTGATAATCACATGATTATCACATCCATATTACATGATTAACCGTTTATTAGATAATGATAATCATGATCGTGTGTAATCGTGTTAAAAGATTTTATGATATCATTTCCATTATTATCCTTTTATTTTTAATATTTTTGAATCTTTTTAAATTTCAATTCTAATTTTAAAAATCTTTTAATTTTATTTTTTTATCACAAGAGGTTATTGGGTTGTTCTCGCATTCTCGTAAATCACAGGGGTTCTCGTTTGAACCCTTCCCTATATATATATAGACTTGAGATCAATGGTTTTTCGTGAGACCCGTAAGACCAATTCTCAACTCTTGAATTAGATTTACAATCGTCAGATCTGAACATTTATAAACGCCACGAGACTTCTCAATAATTACAAAATTACCACTTTGCAAATTTAGATCATTAGATTATTAGTTTATAAATTTAATCAATGAACATAAATTGGTCTTACGGGTCTCACGAAAAACCTTTGATATATATACATATATATATATATATATATATATATATATATAATATCAACCAAGAGAAAGAAGCTAATGGTAGTTTTGGGTTCTTGTTTCAGCCAAGTCATTAAACCGATATCAAGGTAAATTCGGCATGAAAAACTATACACACACAATATATACATGTTTTCAATCAGTTTTATGAAATATGATACGTGTACGTAACTTCGGTATGAAAAATATGTTACAACCATGTCATAATTATAAATATGCATTTGTAAGAATACAGTTTTATGTACAAATGTTGTGATTGTTGGAATTAAGGGGTTGTTTAACAAATGCTAATGTAAGGGTTTATATATTGACCCTTATTTACCTTTCGATAAATATGACAAGAACTAAGAATCTTACCCAGTAAGGTAGGATGGTGAATCTTATTCTGTTTGGTTTATCTGATAAGAAATGCTTACCAACAATGTTATGTGAGAGTATAATTAACAAATTCTTTAAAATAAATAAATCATGAGAAAGTGGAACTCTATAAATTTGAAAAACTCAAAAAATTGTGATCATGAAAGAGAAATAAACTTTTATCATATTCAGAAGCCTTGATGTTTCTATATATGACAAATATAACAAATAAGCTCATATATTTATTCTTAACTTTTTAGAAGGCCAAAGACTATAACACCACTAGACCAGATATCCTTTATTCAGAAGCCTTTGATGTTAAAAATTCATGAGAGGAAAAATATTTTAATAATATGATTTAATTTGTAAAATAGAATGTAATCTCCATATATATATATATATAGAGAGAGAGAGAGAGAGAGATGCTCTTACAATTTTTTAATATCTAAAAATGTTTTATGATAAAATAATTTTTTTTAATAAGAGAGGGATTCATAAATCATAATTAATCTTGTATAGTAACAATTATTTATAGAAATTTTAAATTAATTTGTTTACTATAAGCTGAATACCGGGCGGGATGTCTTGCAGAATACAGAACCCTACTCGAACAATCTAAAACCCCCCAAAACCTTCGACAACAATGGAGCTCTGTACTTCTACTCGTTGCATCCCCAATCATCTTACACCCTTCACTCCTTACAGACCTACCCTGCAATGGAGATGCTCTCTTCCTTTGAAATTCCACCCGATTGCTCGCAACTATCCAGGTACAACATTCTCTTTTTATCTATTTTACTCTGTTGCTACCGTAAACCCTAGATTTCTTTAATATTTCAGTTGGTTTTGAATTTTCTGCTGTTGAATATTCTTTATTAATGGGAAATCGATAGATGTCATTGGAAGGGAACAAAAGATACGACACCTAATAATCAGTTTGAAGATCATGGTGATGTCGTAGCGTTTTGGCCTCTCACATGCGAGTACGCAGGGCTTGGATCTCTTTGAATCTGTTTCTGTAAAAATGTGTGATTTGATGGATCTAATACGGAAAAATGGTTCTATCTGGCATTGAGCAGAGTTTGATAGTCGTCTTGTTAACCCTAAATTTAGAGTATGCATTACCTAGTTACGTGTGCGTATTTTTTCAACCAAATTGGTGAATTTTGGGATGATTGATGTGAAGATCTATGATTTTGGTGTTGCAAAGTAGTATATTTCCCTTCCATGATAAGCGAATTTTGCTGTGCAATTTAGCGAGCTTATCATTCCATCTAATTACTGTTTTCCCCCAAAATGTAAATACTTACTTCGAACTTGTAAGTACTATGTTTACTGGAAAGTTCTTGCAAAAGGTTCATATAGAATTGACTAAATGTGCATTAATCATGTTGTTGCACTTGATGTGAAAATATGAACAAGTTTACACACTATCTTTGGATATCATTGTTTCACAGAAAGGACTGGTTTTCTCATTTATCTTTGTTTCACAGGATCGCGCTATTACAGCTATTTTTCTATAAAAGCTACATCATCTGAAGAAACATCGAGTGGGGCAAATCAGTATGTCAAAGAAGAACCGGATGTAATCAACTACTCATCCATAAAAGCAACAACTCCTGAGGAAACATCAAATGAGACAAATCAATATGTCAAAGATGAACCTGAAAGTGAAGTGACGGATGATGAAGTTCAAGCTGAGGAGAAGAGTGGGTTTGGAGGATTTGGTCTATTCAAAGATGACGCTGAGACTAATGATCAGTTCCCGCAGTTTGATTTTCTAAATAAGCTCAAAGTAGAGGTATAATTTTCTAAATATTTCTCTGTACTATGTGCCTGCTCCTTCATGGTCTTATATGTGAATTTCTCGTAGTTGTACCAACTCTAGTAAGATGTAATTTATGTACTCTCGTGATATGGTTTGTTATTGTCTTTCCTAGGTGATGATGGACCTTATGGATTGCCCGTGCCTCCTAGATCACTATGCTTTTGATGTTTTATTGTTAGCATGTCTTTAGGGTTATCTGGATAGTAATTTGCTGCAACAAGATGGCCTCCCTTCTAGTTGCCCTTGCCCCTTGCTATCCAGAGTTCTTGCTCAGTTGCTTCTAATGGAGCCAACTGTGTGAATGGTTCAGTTTTAGTTGTATACCTAGTACACGTCAACTGTTTAATTGACGTGGAGTCATGAAACAAATACTGTCGATTTGAGTATGTAAGCTGGTTTTGAGTTTCATTTTCCAGCAAATACTTGCATTCCTTATATGGCAGAAAATGATGCTTCTTGTGGTAATTGTATAAAAAGAAATCAACTAATTGTAGGCCATAGAAGGATCCCCCCCACCCCAACACAAAAAAAGGTACCTAAACAAACAAACCTGCAAGTACCAACAGATTTCCATTTAATTGGGTGGTCTTATAACAACTTCATAGAAAGAACCTGATCTAGTGGATTAAAATCGAATCTTTATAATCACAACGAGCCTTTATCAATCTTTTCTTCTTCATGTCACACTTGTAACTCTTAATGTCCATCATTGATCTTAAAAGACTCAGGATTGGGCGTTGATGCATTAGTGTAATGTTACTAAAAGCTTTATTGCCTTTGAATATCTTATTCTCTGAAGTCTGAAGTGGTAGCAGCTATCTCATATTAACATATTATAAATGTTTGCACGGTCATTTTGTGTTTTTCATTTTGTGTTGAAGTTTATGGTTAAAATAGAATTTCCAACATTTCTCGTTCTGCAAGGAAAAAAATAAGTTGTAATGTTGTGGCTGCCATCTGGTGATTAATTTTTCACCGATTAAATGTTACTAGAGCGATCCTGATGCAGCCATCGGATAACTTGTTACTATCTGTGTACTGACTAGCATTACTGTTCTTTCTTTGTAGTTGGATTTTGAAGATTCCTTTTCAATCGCTCTGCTCAGTGTAGGTGGCATTGCAGCCCTGTGGTTAACCGCATCCATAGTTGGAGCCATTGATAATATACCTTTGGTGGGTTATTGGTTTTCATACTTGCTAAAGTATCATCTTAATACATCTTCACCTCTGTCTTATACAAAATTTGGTTCCATTTTCTGTTGTTAGTTTCCTAAGCTAATGGAAGTGGTGGGTCTTGGCTACACTATCTGGTTCAGCTCACGCTACTTGCTCTTTAAGGTACGGAAGCAGTAGTGCGCTATTTCTTCGTGTCATCGTGTGTGTATGTGAGTTAACCTAACCACTAAAAACGCATGGCGTTTTGGCCCAATTGTATCAGGTTGTGTGAGTTTGTTGACGGTTTCTAAAATAGCATAACGAATAAAAAGGTTTATTTAGAGAAGCTTGATCTTCGTATCAATTTTGCAGAGAAACAGAGATGAATTGGCATCAAAGATCGAAGAGATTAAGCAACAAGTTCTGGGGGGGAAAGTTGATATGTGAGATCACTGAAACCATCCTCTTATATGAGTCTAGATTGCATCGGAATAGTTTTTGGGTCCAGTAGTATGCTTATATGTGAATAAAAATACCGACTTCAAGGATGCGTCTCTTTTCCTTACGGTTGAATATCGAGAAATCAAATATTTTGAGGTGAGTTCTTGTCTGAATTGTTGTGTTCTTTATAGAACATTGGAAATTATGATGCTATGGAGTTGGCTCTTTAGGCTGTTATATGTGGATGGCAAATATACAAACCACCATCAACAGCATCATCACATTCACCACAACTCTCAAAAGACAGCATCATCAGATTCACCACAACTCTCAAAAGACGAGAAGTTTCAATATTATATATGATTTAATTTGTTGGGTGTGTTTAAAATCATACATCAAATTCAAACGCTATTTGTTTGATTCTGAATAAATAAGATTTTATGTTTAGCATATACATCAAATTCAGATACGGTTTGATTCTATGAAGATCGTAATAAATAATTTATAGAAAAAAAAAAAAAAAAATGAATATGAAAATTTGAGGAGGTAGGTAAAAAAAAGTCCATCCGAGTGGGACCCTGCGTATGTCGGTCTTAAACCTTTATTGGCTTTTCCTCATTTGGTTGTGTGGTGCTCCCGCCTCATGGGTCCAACCTCTTCTTATCTTAAATTAATAAATATGTGGGTTCCACAATTGACCTTAAAAGTGATTTTTATTTATCCTTTAATAGTTTTATTGAGAAACTGTTTTTGAATCGCTAAAAAATGAATTTTATTTGATAAAAAAATGTTGTCTTTTAACGTATCTAAAACTTTTTAAATGATTTTATATCATGGATTTTTTTTAACCATGCAAAATTCTAATTCTATTGTAAATAATTACTGAACAATAATATTTCATTTTGTACTATATCATAAGAGTCTTTTAATTATTTTGACCATTTAATCATTTTGTATCAAAACATTCAGCAACTGTCAAACATCCCATAAGTCTTAGAAGTCATGACGTTTTTAAAATCGTAATTTGTATGTCAAGTATATATATATGTTCAATTATTATTTAATGGGTCAATAATATTTAACCATTTAAATTAGGTTTTTATACTATAAACTAAGAAAAAGACAATGAAAAAGGTAAGAAAAACCACTAGCAAGTTATAAAAACTGCATTAGGCCATGAAGTTCCACTTACTTAACGTAGCATCAAACATCAACCTTGAGTCAAACATGCCATAATGAATATTGTGACGAGACTTAGAATATTATTGTTAACTAAGAAAAAGTAATAAGCTCAACCTAGATGGATGAAAATACAAGGTCCGACAACTTTAAACTTTCTTATCATATATAAATTTAGAGGCCGTTTATCTAAACACAGTGAGAGTCAAGACTCTCACTTATCTAATTGGATAATATTATAGTCCATCAAAGCAACACTGTAAGCAACAATTTACAAGACAAGCGGTAACCAGATAAGAGTCATCACCTTCACTTACCTATATAAATTAATTAATCACTACAGTCAGCTTTATATAATTTACCTGTTTATAAAATACGCAAAGGTAATATTATATTTTTGAAAATAAGGTTTTATGAATTTAAAAAAAAAAAGTCTAAATTAGAATATATTTTCCCACATCTACAATCAACATGTTAGAAACATAAAACGGCTACGTCACGCATCTTTTGTTTAATTTCTGTTTACTAGCAAAGGATGATAATCACGTGTATATAATATATATATATATATATATATATATATAGAAAGAGAGAGAGAGAGAGAGAGAGAGAGAGATTTTCATATATAAAAATGTAATATTTTAATTCGATACATAAAAAATAGTACACCTGTATAATTGAAATAATAAAAAAAAGGCTTATACATCAAACAATTAAAGTTGAAAGTATAATTTAATCGGTTTTGTTATATAATCAACGTAATAAATGGATCTTCTCTAGTGGGTATATTAAATCTATCATTAAAGTTCAATTTTTATCTTTTTAGTGTATTTCAGTCGAGTCAAAGGACCTAAACATCTATTGGACAAATTTCATCTGTAGGTTTGTGAATTTTGTTGCGTGTGACCGTTAGCTTTGGTTGGTCGTTTTGTTTCCGTTATCTCTGTTTTAATCTTGTTACAAGTTTCTTTTTGTATTTTTATCTCTCATTTCGTCCTCTGTTTGAAAAACGGATTGTTATTTAACATATATAAAAAGATTTCAATCTCAATTTACGTTTTACACGTAATAATTACTTTAAAAATAGTAATTCCAATGGACCCATATCTTTTTGTATTTCGTTTTATTCTTATAAATAATAGCTTTTCTGAATACATGCTTAATACGTAAACACTTGCATTAAATTTTTTAAAGATGTAATATAATTAAATTATTCATTTTTTCAAAATAAAAACAAAAAAATAATAAAACTATGGTAACTTTTTGTTACGCCAATACTGAAATATTTGTCGTCGTCATCATCAATCAATGAAATTCAAAAATCCTTTAGCAATTTCCGGACTTGTTCCAGTGTGACAAAGAGCACGATAGTAAATGGTCCTTGCCTAGATATCGTCGGAATAAACCCTTTGTAAAGCGCCATCGGACCTTCACTCTTTATGGTTTTCATGGCGCAATCCGTGGCACCCGCGTACGGCGGAGCCTTTCCTGGTTCCACCTTCATGTTCATGACTCGAGTCTTGATCACATCGATTGGGTTCGTAACCACTGAAGCAATGAACCCAGCTGCAAAGCTCGCACCCACATGGGTCCCCAACCCATCTTCCATCAAACCCTTCTTTAAGATCGTCTCTTTGATCTGATCATACGATGCTAACTGCGATGCGGTCACTAACATGGCACGGTTCACCGTAAGCGATGAACCGCGCCACAGGCTACCGATCCCTTCGTTTTTGGCCATATGTGATAGAGCGTCCACCACGCTTTTGTAGTTGCGACGCTCTGCAGCCGGAAGCCTTCCGTCAGCCTGCATGCGGACCATCGATACGTCGGCCGGATTCCCGACGCAGGCGCCGATCCCACCGGCGATTAATCCGGCACCGATCTTCTTCCACAAAAGCATGTTTCCGGTCTCGGGATCCGTCCATTTGTTCTTCATCATGTCGTAGAGACCCATACGGGTGGTGGAATAAAGCGTTTGGCGGAGAATGGTTGCGGATACGCCGGAGAAGAGCGCTGCTGCTCCGTCTTGCTGGACGATCCGCATCCCAACCGCAATGGGACCCACACGCGGAGGCCGAGAAACTTTGTTGTTGGTTCCCAGCTGCGCATGGTGGGTGTTTTCGCCTTGCAGCTGCATACGAACCTTAATGAGATCAAGTGGGTGGGTTGAACATCCGGCGACAATTGATGCTATGCCGCCTTCGACGAATCCCTTCAATCCCATGGGTAAAAGTAAGATTGAAACAGGAAATGTGAACCCAAGAGATTCAGATATGAATTCAGATTAGGGTTTACGTGAATCGAAGGGGAAAGGGAGGAAAATGATTGGGTGTGGAAGACATGTGCTACGAAGATGGAAAGAGAGAGAAAGAATGAGATGATGGCATTGGGGAAAGTTGAAGGATTATAGGAAACATTTGATACACCTATTCAATGGTTTTTACGGTTACATGAATTCCTATCCGCATTTATTATTTTTGGTGATTAAATGTAATTCCAAAATATCTAGAAAAAAAATCTGAAACTCATAGAAAAATATATCAAAATAAAGTGATTGTTTTTTTTTTTTAAATTTATTTTAGTCTAATCTTTTTATATTTCCTTAATTTTTTATTAGAAAAATATCGGTATATTTTAAGAACACTCAGTATAATCAACTTTTTGATCAATTATATATGATGATTTAAATGGGTTATTCAATTCTTTCTTCCCTTTTTCACAGTTTTCTCAAAATCTAGTCCCATAAAATTATATACATGGCATTTTTTTAATTATATCAACAACAAAGTTATTGTTTTTTTAAAATATTTTAAATGGTTTTTGAGAGTTGACTTACTCTATGTCCATTCAAATTTCAAATCAAGTAACGTTTTTCCTTTTTTTAAAGTTAAAATGACATATTAAAACAGGTTATTTTTGAAAGTTTTTAAATGTTAATAATGAAGTTGGACTTTTTTGCTTATATAAAAAAGCAAATCAACGAATATGTTCGTATTTTCGTTAGATTCGAATACAAAGCATAAGAATCATTAAAAATCATTTTGCATAATTATGTGTAGGATTCCTTCGTTTAACTTTCCTAGGGATATGTTTTGTTTTTCGGTATATTTGGCTTGATTCAAGGTCTTTTTCAAAAACTTGTTCTTGGTTTGATCTAATCTTATTCCAGATGATAATTAAACAGGTTTTTTTTAAGTTTTCAAACTTGAAATGATGTGCATTTATATATAATTTATCTGGTTTGAACAAACTAAATGTTTATTTGGTTCATAATATGATATGGGACCAGACTGACTCTGTATAAAAACCAAACTGGCTTATATTTATTTAATAATATTTTGTGTTTGTTTCATTCTGGTTTAACTTGATCGAGTTTGGTTCCACCCCCATTAGACATTGTCATACAAGTTGTGAAATGCAAAAAATGGTGTAAACTCAATATATTATTAAACTTTTCATCTAATCTGAGAAAAATCGAATAAACAATAAAACTACGAGATGCATGTATTGCCACAAATTTTCTCTTTGTTTGATGTCATTATTTGTGATTAGTATATCTATACTATATTATAAAGCATTTGACAAAAACTCTTAAAAACCATTTTTTATGTATGAAGTACTGTTTATTGATACATACTACTTAAAATTCAAGATTACAAGTAAATTGTGTTTAAGTACAACTTATTAAAGCTTCATGTTTGAATTCGTGTAACTAATTGCGGATAAACATAATCAAATAGAGGATAAACATCTCGTTTTAAAATATAAAAAATCTAAAATTTATTAGGATAATTATTGAGTTTTTAACAGAATCATTATCTTTATAAAAAAAATTATATTATTACTTCGTTACTAAATCTCAATTAAATTATAATAAAAATTTGAATCAAAGAAATTATACAAAAACAAGAACTTTTAAATAGTTAATTTAATACTAATATCGTTTATTTTTTTCAAAATTTTATGATATCTTCAAATTTATATTTAATTTAAAAATAAAAACATTTTCTTTTTCTCAGAACCACATAGCATCATAATATTAATAGACCCAAAATATGAAATGAAACATTAAAATCAAGATGCATCTCGCTGTATTGCGTGAGTACCCTTCTAGTTATTATATAATTTGTAGGTTTTGGTATTCGACATAGGAATAAGGACAAAAAATGTGAAACAAATTATGCAGTGACAAGTCATTTTACATCATTGTTTACAACTTTATTTTCTTTCTTGTTTTAAATTTTATTTTGTCAATGAACGCCGAATGACAAGAGAACTGTTTGATGGAATTAGAGGGAAAATCATACAAACAAGAACTAGAATTATGAGTTTGTGTTTTACCCAATTTTATGTTTATATAAAAACTATAAATTTGTACTGTATTATTTGGAATGTTAAAGTTCAACAATTGTTTTATAACATTTTCAGAGTTAAAACACTAATAAACCTGCAAAAAAACTGTAGGATACGGAAATAAATAAAACACATGATACACGATCGAGAAGAAAATACGACATAATATTTCAGTTGTCTAAAAAAAATATGTTTGTTATATCATTTATTTTACATGTGATGATAACATTTAAAGATATTAATTTTATTTATCTATAATATAAATTGGTTCAAAAACCTCATATATGTATAGCTTTTGTCATTATGAAAACTAGAAGGGTACTCGCCCAATACAGTGAGATATATCTTGATTTTAATTTTTTATTTATTATGTCTCCGTCGATGTTATAATACGATTTTATGTGGTACCGAAAAAACGATAATGTTTTTTTTAATAAAATATAAATTTAAAGATATCATAAATTTTTTAAATCAAATTAAATATTTAAAAATTCTTGTTTTTTGTGTGTGTAATTTCTTTAATTCTATTCATTTATTTTTAGTTTAATAATATAATTTTTTTATAAAGATAATATTTAGTATTTTGAATTCAATGATTATCCTAAATATATTTTAGATTTTTTATATTTAAAATGGGATACTTATCTTGAATTTGATTATGTTTATCTGTAATTAGTTACACAAATTCAAACATGAAGCTTTAATAAGTTGTATATACTAGGGATGCTTATGGGTTGGGTTGATTGGGTTGAAGACATTTAAACAACTCAACCCAATGCTTGCGGTTTGGAAAAAAATTAACCCAACCCAACCCAACCTATACGGGTTGATACTTTGGTATATTAAAATATTCTTCTAACCTTGAATATGTTATTTTTCTACTCATAGTTTTTTTTTCATCATCAACCATTTGATACAACTTATCCATATTTCTTACGTATATTACATTCAGTTAATTTTCTCAATTTACATATATATGTCCACAGTTACTGAACATATATATGAATAAGTTATATAGAGATATGAATAGATTGAAAATATGTGTATATGAAAAACATACATGATAGTGTAATTGTCTAATGTATATATTAATAGAAATTCAACAATCATATTAAATCCAAGAAATAAAAGGATATCGGGTTTATCGGGTTGGGTTGAGTTCAAATAATAGTAACCCAATATCAACCCAATACCTACGGTTTGATAGTTTTACAACTCGATTAGACATCGGGTTGCTTCGGGTTTTGGGTTATTTCGTGTTCGGGTTGGGTTGGGTTGGGTTGATCGGGTTGGTCGGGTTTTTGAGCACCCCTAGTATATACGAACAATTTACTTGTAATCTAGAATTTTAAGTAATATGCATTAATAAACAGTACTTTATGCATAAAAAATGGGTTTTAAGAGTTTTTGTCAAATATTTTATAATATAGTATAGATAAGGTGGTGTTTAATTTTTAGAATGAAATATGTTGAAATTGTAATATGTCAAAGAAATTTGAATTTGTAGGAATTTGAATGAAATTTAATCAGATTTAACCACACGTTTGGTTGACATAAATTGAAATGTAATATGTATAATGAATTGGAATCTATCTGTTTGATTGACAGAATTGTAATCTCAGAGTTAAAATGAAATAACTATAAATGACCAAAGTACCCTTTTTGAAGTAGTTTTGTAAATTGTTGTTTAGCTTATAAATATCAGAATACGTTTTTCGTCCCTGTGGTTTAAAATTTCGGTTTTTATTCTCATGGCTTGCAATTCAATTCTATTTTCATCCCTAAATTTAAAACACTACTTTTAGAAAAGGATCACCTCGACTTTTCATCTTATTACGTTGACTAGAACCTTCATCACTACGCACCAGGGGCAGATGCAGTGCTTTAAAGAAGGGGGGAAGGGACCCCAGTCAAAAACTCAAAAACAAAAATTCATAGGTTAAAATTTAGGTTTTACATGATTTACCTTTCACTTCCTCCCATTACATTTTTCTATGGGCCCCCAACCCTAATCGAAACTGTTACTCTAACAAAAAAAATATGTTGAAATCAATCAAAAAAACCAAAAAAGTTATTCGGAATCGACAAAAACACTAAAAAATTCTTCGAAATCAACCAAAAAACTTTAAAATTCCCTAAAAAAAACGTTGTAATTAGGTTAAAAACACATCGGACGATTTTGCGGGTTTTTAGTCTACCTTAAAGGTGACCCCACTAAACAAAAATCCTGGACCCGCCACTGCTACGCACATTTGATTGTTGTTCCTGATCTCCAAAACCATCATCTGATTGTGTCGTTGTTGATCTTCCATGTCCGCCTCCTCAACCATCTGATCGATATCTCTAGTATTATTTCCTTAAGTTCGATCCTTCCCAAAAACGATACACAAATCCTCAAAATGAGGAAATGTCTTATAAATATTATATTTTCAGTATTAAAATATGTGTTACTGTTTATAACAACGTTGAATCTAAGATTTTTGTCGAGTATGTGCACCTTTAAGGTGTATTAAAGGCTCACAAAATCATCATTTGTGTTTTTAGTCAAATCCCACTATTACAAGATTTTTTTATAGTTTTTTGATTGATTTCACTTTTTCGGTTTTTGGTTAGTGCCCCCTGTATGTTCTAATATTCCGGAGGGGTTGCACCCCTCAAAGTTAGTTTATCCACCTTTTAAATCCCAAAAAAATTAGTTGTGAAATATCCGTCGAATGTTTTTAAGGGTGTGTTTGGTGTCAGTACAGGACATGACATGATAGAACAACTGTTCAACGTTTGGTAAGATAGAACTGGACATAACAAAACAAGTAAAATGACCAATTTACCCCTGATGAATTGTTTATTTTAATTAATTTATGTAATTTATTAAATTATAATATAATAACTATTTTTTATAACAAAATATATCATTTGAAGTTTTCGTCAAAACAATTAAAATGACACCAAATAAAAAATTTATGTAGTTTTCTATTTTTATTTTTTTTATCTTTTTTCTATATTATTTATTATTATTAATATATAATAAATTACATAAATTAATAAAAATATGGAAACCGTATAAAAATAATATTTTGAGGACAGTAAAATGAAAATTTAATAAACATAAAATACGATAGATAAAATTTAAATAATGAATAAAATATAAAAAAATAGTCCTATTTGATGTTTTAGAAGAGAATTAAGTTTTACTTTAAGGTTATATTGGTAAAATATAAGTCTGTTCTACCTTGTTCCACCCTGTTCCATGGGGTAGGGGTGGAATAGGCCTGTTCCATTTTATTTCACTCTGTTCTTGTCTATTCCACATAAAATTTATGCCAAACATGGGAGAGATCTTTGTCCTGTCCCTGTCCCTGTCCATGTCCAGTGTACCATGTTGGAGATACATAGAAGAAAACATCAAATATACGTAGGAAATTTGAATTTATCAAAGATGTTCTAGATAACAAAGTTTGAAATGATTTGTCTGCACAGTTTCTGCACATATACATAAAAGAAGAGTTTGTTGTCAAAAAGTCAACTTCATATTTACACAACAAAAACTCACTTGTACACTGGGTATCACCCAACGTATATATACACACCCAAGGGTTATACCCTTAAGGCCAAAAGACACCCTTCACTAATAGACACATCTATTCACCAAAGTAACTACCTTTAACTGTCAGATAACTAACTTAATATTTGAATGTCTAACTTACTTTTAACATACCAAAGTACCAAACACATCCTAAAAAAAGATAGATACGAGTGTATTATTCAATTCGTTAAAGCTTATGGGCTTTTCTTGAATTCTTGTAGAAATTTATGGCCCCAAATAATATTGTTATTTGGTAGAAAATTGGAGAGACACGACGCCGTATTCGATTCGATTATCGAAGAAAAGGGATTCCAAATCGAACAATTAGAGCAGGTGTATCCAAATGCAGGTATCGAATTTGATATCAACCTACCATTGCTACTACCACGTCCACAACCACCATCATCGGATCTCCTCCTCCACTCTTTTTCTTCTCAGATCGATGGTCACCGCCACCACCAGCGTCGCCGCTACCTCTACCGGCGGTGGAGCTTTCACGACCATCGCTGAGAGAGTCAGCTTGGAACGTGATATTAAAAAGAGCAAATTCATCGCTATTGCCGGTCACATCCCCGACGAGCGCTCTGCTCAATCTTTCCTTTCCGAGGTACTCTACTCTGATGTTCCTTCCGCTGCAGAATATAATATCGATGAATATTATCTGTTTCGTTTCAGCTTTGAATTTCCCTATGATAATTGAAATGAAAATACTTGATGCAAAAAGTAATAAGAAAAAGTTGATTGGGTTCAAGCAGAAAATATTGAGAACCAAATTAAACCGTTACAAATTATTCAATTTTGGTGTTAGAAACAAAAGGGGTTTGATCAGTCTTGAATTTGAAAATATTAGGTCAATTTCCAAAATGAGAAACGACTTTGTTGGGACTGAGGATTTTCTTCGTAATTTATTTATCAGTATATGTTTCTGGACATGTTCAAATAACAAACTGATGCAAACCTATCTCTGAGATTTTCAAAAGTGATTTCTAGTGGTCATATATTCCTCTTCATTTGCTTTTGGAATTCGTATTTGGGCCATTTAGTTTACTCCATCCCTTGCACTTTAACCACCTGTTTGTGATTAAATCTCAAAGGATTACCAACTTCCATGCATACAGATATCTTGGGGTTAAGTTATCTGAAAAATGATGGATTTGTAGTTGAATAGTACACTGCAAAAACAATCAATCAATGTGGCAGAACATCAGTTAGGCTGTTAGGGTGTGTATGGTGTGGTGGACAGGATGGGAGAACAGAAACCGTTGTTGCATGTTTGGTGTGGCATTAGATTTGGGATAGGATGGGACCGTGGAGACAAAAATGATTTTATCTTCCAACTAAAATTAGGTAAATTACTAACTAATCATGTCAAATTAAAACCCTAAAACCCTGTACAATGCCTACCTCACTCTCGTCCTGTTCTGTTTGTGTATCAAACGCACACTTATACTTAAAAACTGTTTACCCCCAGATACATGGCACAGTACAGGAAAAGTCTATGTAAAAGTCTGAAACTGATATCAAGACGACACGTGTTCACCTATTCCCCAATATATGCGTGGAAAGTGAGTTTGCTAATTTCTTTATAACCTTGAAATTGTGAGATATGTATCGTAGAAAACCAATAACCTCCTTGTGTTTGTGATCAAACTATCTTTCAAATACTTTTCCCTAAGCTTATTGTCAACAGGTGACTGAAAAATAGCTGTTTAAATTTGATTTATAAAACTCTGGCTTTTTTGGAAGGTATGAAACTTCTGCCTTTAATCATACTGATAGCAGCATTCATGGTTTGTCCTGTTTCTGTCTACAAGTGCTCTACCTTGTGTTTTTCTTTTCCTGAATTTTAAATAGAGTATAGAAGAAAATGTGACGAAGTCATTGCATATGCTTGACCCACACTAGGAACATATGTCATGCTAAATAGTATTGTAAACATTATTGGCAAGGAAATAATGACTTGGCAAAATCCTTGGTGCTTTGGAAAGAAAGCAGTCAAGAATTATGAAACAAGGGAACGTAGTAGTACTGCCCTATGAACCCCAAGTAATTACTGCAGAGTCTCGGTGGATAACTAGGTACACGAAGTGGCTACGTTGGTGGTTATGTTCGTACTTGGTATAAGACATCATTAATCCACTGGATTGACGTTAGGCAGTAATTCTATATCAATATGGGGTCCAGGGCAAAGGCCATGATAACAATGGACGGAACTCTATACAAATATAATCCAAAAGCAGGCCAGTGAGAGCTCAAGTTCAAACTCATTTACTGTTCTAAGTTCTAACTTTGCATTTTTAGATCTAGAGTTAGATTTGCTTCCACTAGGATCTATTCTGTTCCATATGGCTTCCATTAATGACACCACTCAAGACAAGAAGGAAAATGTGCCGTTTGCCAAGAGTAGGTCAGCATTTCAATAAAAATCTTATGTGTTTCTTCATTTGAATAACATTTTTCCCCGTCTTTGTTTTAAAATTTTGAATGTGAAAGGAAATCCTCGACAGAAGTCGATCCTGCTCCTTGATGATGAGAACCAAGTCAAAGCTGTATGGGTAAGCAAATGGCATGTCCCCCTAGCATAAAGAAATTCAAGAAACCATGCTGGGTCTTTAGATTGTCATTTGGTTTGATTGGCCATAATTTATAGGTGGATGGTTTTGAGTTTCTGTTCGTGCATAACAAGCACATTACCAAATTGAGTGGGGAAATTTGCCAAATCAGGTCCTACATTAGTTGCGATGGTCAATTGTTTGCTCCTTATAAACCATTGTCGGTGGGCTGCTAATAACTTCTTACCATGGTTTTAATCAATTGACGGTCATTTGGGCTAGTTTGCTCTAGGTTTGAGGTGTTACACCTACAAGATCTAAGGACTTCGTTTCAGCAATGTATGCCCACTTCAATCCAGCTATCTTTGTTGTAAGGTTCCATAAGGGGTCAACTTATCCACTATCCATTCATATGTTTTTTAAGGTCTATACCACCAGTGTTCTCAGTAGGGATAGATCCTCAGTATGCAGTAATCTGCTGCATATCTGTTCCTATTCATAAGAAATTATACAGTTGTTTTCACATCCTTAAGCACATTTTTCAGTAATGGCAAAATCACTAGTCAAGTAACTACAACTGCAGATCAGAAAAAGATTTAAAAAACTAGCTACAAGTGTCCAGATTAACTAAATCTTCTTGAGCCAAACGGTATCTGTATATATCCTTGCACTAGGCCATGGAGATAGGAGTAAGAACCATCTACACATTGCTTTTGAGAAATGGACTCGTTGCTGAATGCCAGGGCATAGAGATAGGAGTAAGGACCATTAACTAAATCCTCTTGATGGCACATTTAAGTTGTTCTTTATGTGAATTTGTAGTTCTAATCTGAAATATTCTATATTTTATTTTAAACAACAAAATCGTCAGTCATTTTGATAATGGTTTTAGCCGCATTCAAAGTCTGTTCCTTTTTTTTTATTTCCAACGACTTGCTACTAATGAGATATAAGATCCAGATTTCCTTGTTGTGCGATGCAGGGAGACAACCCAGGTCCCTTGTACCAGTGTATTTTTTTAATTCTTAATATTGATGTGCGTGTCCTGATGCTTTTAATGATCCGTCCATTTTGTTTTCCGTCAAGTGAATGAGGAAATGTGGAAAAAGTTCTCTAGCATAACATTAGTCGAGTTAAATGAGAATGTTGCCTTTTTTCTTTTTAGAGTTGTAATAGAATTATTTTTTTTATCACCTGTGTTATTTTATTTGCTTCATTGCTGTTAAAACTTCTGATTTCATCTTATATTTTGTGTAGGTTCAAGATGCACGCGCAACTCATAATTGCTGGGCTTATAAGGTATATACACTTGTTTTGGTTCTTTTTATTATTTTTTGCATAAATATTCAGTTTGACATAACTGGATGCTCAATTGCTAGCGTTCATGTTCTAAAGTGAATCCTGCCTCTCACCACTGTGATCTGCTCATGATTTTTAGCCTGTCAATGTCCATAAAGAAGAGTCTAACAAATATAATAGGCAAATACTGCATACTATTTGCTCAAATATTTTGTATTTGATCTACACTTTTGGTGATGGATGCATGCACGTTTAGAAAATGATACAATGGACCACCGTGAAACGTGATATTTACTTGGTTCCCTCACCAATTTTGTATGATGTTTGTTTCTTTGCATTCTAGGTCGGAAATCAGTATCGAAGTAATGATGATGGTGAACCATCTGGTACAGCTGGAAAACCAATATATTCTGCCATCGAAAATTCAGGATTAGATAGAGTGATGGTTGTTGTCATTAGGTACATATAATTTCAAATTCACTTCCATCATCTACTTTCGATATTAAAAGTTTAGATACTTGTCACTTCAGTGGAAAAAAGTAATGAGGGATTTGTTCTTGGGTTACAGTCAATTATATTTCAATCAGATCACATGCCTGACTCCATAGTAAATAGTGGATGAATTGAACATTCAAGAATTGAACTTATTCATTTCTTTTTGATTGTTCTTGTTTATTCTTAGGCACTTTGGAGGGATCAAACTAGGCACCGGAGGGCTAGTTAGGGCCTATGGCGGAGTAGCAGTAGAATGCTTGAAAAATGCCCCAACGCGACTTGTAAAATCTCAGGTAATAATAAGTTTTCTGCCTACATTTCCCGAAATTTTCTTGATTTTATAGATGCTTTTGTGGAGCTTTCATGATTCTTTTACTCTTGTAATTGTACTAGTCGGTAATTTTCAATTTCATCACTCGTACTATAGTTTGGTATTATTGATAAGAGTGAATTAYTGTTGTAGCTATTGGACTTGTCAAGTTATTTCAAAACAACCACTTACTTGGAAAACCCCAGCATATTTTTTTACCTTGGATCAACCCTAGTTAAGCTTAGTTAACCTAACTAGATTATGTTCTACATTTCAGAGAGTCGTACTCAGCATTTGTTTTCAAAATAACCATTCTCCATGTAAGAATACGAAAACCATCATATCACAAACTGTCATCACGTTTGTCCAAATCCTTTGCCCCGAACCATATTTGGCAAAATTGTGATCTTATTTTGAACACTTTTGCACTCATTGTGTTTGACAAATTTAACAAATTGAGAAGACTTTTGCCGTTGATTTTGAAAAACTCGTCTGACATATTGTGAACATTTTGATAAACTCTGAGCATATTTTTTCTCAAATCTTTTGCCCCCATTTGTATTTGACAAACTGAACTTTGAACCCTTTTGCCCGAGTTGTAGCGAAAAGTGTCTATTTTTCTTGAAGAATGAGCGAATTCGGCCAAATTTCTCATCTTAAGAATGTTCCATAAAAGTCTATCAAGTATGAATTGGGCAAAATAATTAGTATGATTTGGAGAAAGCGTTTGTTCACAGTTTTAACGAAACCAAATGAACCGAGTGAATCCTACATGGAGTAGGATATGGGGAGGGTAAGATGTAGCCAAGGAGTAGAGTGACTGTTTCTTTGAAGCTCCCCAGCTTGTAAGGTACAATTCAAGGTTAGGCAAAAGATTTGGGCAAAATTGTTCACAAGTTGTCAGAGTAAGATTTGGGTGGAAATGCTGGCAATGTGTGAAAAAGGGTTCAAATATTTTCAGATATAATTTACAAAAGAGTTCAAAGTACAATACATCAAAAGCATCCACAATTTGGAGCAAAAGATCTGGGCAAAGGTGCAAGTAATTTGTGATATACAATGTTGACATAGTGGAATGTAATCTACATGGGTTCACTTAAATTTTAATGGGATAAATCGGAGTGAAAAAATGTTAAGGTTTTCCAACTTCAATGGTTGTTATGAAACAACTTGCCAGTGGTTGTTATAATGGTAATTCACTTAATCTGGCAGTTGTTAATAATGTGTGGTTCTAATATATGTTGTAGGTGCCTATGGGTGTTGAGGTTACTTTTGATCTATTGGGGGTTGTATACCATCAGGTAAACACTAAACATCATTTGCTAGCAGTAAGTACTTCAAACCAGTTTTCATTTGTATGAACCAACACCTGAAAATACAGTGTTGTTTTACATGTGAAACGTTTAAGATTGTTTTTTTCCACACATAAAACAGTCTTGAAAAAAATTTCACATATGAAACAACATCGTATAAACACTACATTTTCACACGAGAAAAATTGGTTTGTGTGTTTTTATGATTTATTGGGTTTATAAATGCTAATGTGTTCAATGCATATATATGACAACACTTTGTTGGTGATTTTCAGCTGCAATCATTCAAAGCTGTAGATATTAAGCAGGATTATGATACTGGAAAAGATGGCATAACAATGGTGACCTTCAAAATTAGTTTTGACGAGGCTGAAGCATTGGAGGAAGCTTTGAAAACCAATTGCAGCAGAAATCTTGTATTTTACAAGCATTGAGCAACCAATATTATATGGGTAGGAATTATTAATAGTAGTCAAATTAACAATTTTAATCTGTTGGTTTTCTGTATATATATTAAATAGTCATTCTTATATCCTATGTTGATCTGTAGAATTCATTGAGGCCAGGGTGTACCAATGTGAGATGAAATAGTGCTCCCAAAATTTTGGGGTCAAATTATACATTTTTTAGCCTTTAATCCAATTATACATATTTTAATTTATTATATCGTTTCTTGCCTGATTATAATGTTTTAGCTTTTACTTTAATCGATTACATGTGAATTTTATATATTACTATGCCTGATTATAATGTTTTAGCTTTTACTTTAATCGATCACATGTGAATTTTATATATTACTACGTCACTGAAACCCATTTTTGTTTTAACTCTTGTTCTAAGACTTTTGATATAATATATGTTACATAGTATGAACTTTATATTTTGTTTTTAGAACAATACTTTAAGTTGATTTATACCTGTACATCATATCTATATTTCTTGACGATGGAGCATGAAAATTGCACAATGCTATGCATATCTGGTCTTCTACCAATTTGCATTGGATATGAAGTAGGTAATAATTTTGTATGTTTTTTTTTGCTAATGAACATTTGATCGCCACCAAGAAATTTGAAAAGTATAAGAGAACAATGATCAAGTATCGGTAATGAAGCACACGTTTCTCATGATATGTGATTAATACACGATGAATTGAAGTGTTTCGTGAATATGGCGTTGTTTGAGTACATACAGGGGGTTTAATGAAACTATCAACCGTTAACCACCTGAGAATGCGAGAATTATGTTTCTTAAAAAGGTATTCATGTAACCTAAATTGAGGAATTCAAGATCATGTTGATCGTTGAAGGGGGTGTTTGGGATTTTTTCTTATTTAAAACAACTTGTAATTTTCTATAAAAGTCCTAATTAACTTATTATAAGTTAGAAGAATTTAACTTTTTCAAAAACTCCATATTACCGGTTTGACACCGGTATAAGTTGTTTATCCAAACATTTAAAAGTGCTTATTACCAATGTCATACTGGAATAAGTCAATAAGTTGCTTTTATAAGCAATCCCAAACACCCCCGAAGTATGAAAAAACTCAAAGGAACGAGCTAGAACAAGTAACCTACGCAAGAACGTTGGTAAAACCAACTGGACATTACTCCAGTCGTATCCCATAACTCAATCTTTTTAAAGGTCAAGTTTTCCAAGTTCAATAGCGTGATGAAGCGAGACTTGAACCCTAGACCTCTAAGAAAGTCGTGTTACAAGGTACTGCTAAGCCAAATGCGCTTTGTTTTGTAGAACCTTGTTTAATGGATGGAAGATTATTGTAATGATTGTGGCGGCGCGACTRTTATAATTTGGAAATTGTATATAATAAAAACCAGTAATGTGACACATCBAGGTTWCCCACTTGTATGTGTTTAGWATAAGTTTATTTGTGCCATGTTTTGAAAATTATTTGAACAATTTGTTGATTGATGAACATGCTAGTTTACTAGACAATATTGTTATATAAAAAAATCTAATTGATTTTATACTTAATGCAGAATATCATAACAAATGACATTAAAATGAATTATGAATGGTTATGAATATGCTAAAGACACCGATAAAATATTTATAGTAAATTGAAGACACAAATTTTATTAAATTCATGAAATATAAAAACTATAATAAACATAAAGACAAAATCATTTGAGCGTGTTTATGACTACTTATGTCATTTTAGTCAATTTCTATTTTTCACAATCATAGACACACACACATCCGTAAGTGCCAAAAACGGAACCGGGAACACACTCTCCATTGCCGTTAAAACTTTGAAAGCATTGCTTCTTACAATCATAGAGYGTACATGCTTTAGGGTCCAACACCTTTTCGCATCTTTTTTGAGCAACCACGTGGTCGACATTTATCACTGCAACTACAACCAAAGCAAAGAACACAGAATAAAGATGACAATTATAAAGAATTATAAAATTAGTATACATATGAGTCACAATCAACTCAATATATTCAGAGACTTGAAGTTGATCATGCTTTCTCACAAGAATAACAGATAACAAAGATCAGAATATTGGGTGCTACTGGATTGTAAGAAAAGTTTGAAGTAGATCGTTGAGCTAATAAAAATACAAAAAGGGTCAATAAACTTTACAATTGGATTGTTTGATTTAGTGTAACGGAAACTGATTGTAAAGTTTGATGACCTTTCTTGTGTGTGTTTTGGTCTTAATAGTATAAACATATAAAAGTGAAAATAAAAAACGGATATCAAATAATATATACAAGAAATCATGAACGTGCATAGAAATTCAACCTGACAAAACGACTACAAAAAGCAAGAAACAAGATGAAAAAGCCTTAACCATCTTTTAACAATCTTGAAACCCTACTTGTTTGATGAAACTTTATGATGTTGTTTGCGGTATTTATATAATKCAAGGGTCATTGTAATTATCAAATGSCTTAATTAATGACATAAATATATACAAATCGTAACAATCTTTATTAAATGAATTCACCATTAATTTTTCCATAAAAAGTTTGACTGTTTTAGTTTTAACGTTACAAGATTATAAGGAAATAAATAAAATAAAACCGCAAACATATTATTATGTTCAAAATTATTTTCAGTACCCATCATGTTAATGCCTATTTATCATCCTTAATTCCCTGCCAAGTTAAAATAAGCTTATTTAAAAAGATAATATTACTAGAAAATCAGCTTATAATATCTCAATATTCTCATAAACCTTTTTATAAAATTTAAGTTTATATGATCAAATAATTTTCCGTGTTATATAAGTACGTTATTTTTGGATATCCCAACGAAATTTTAGAACTCTTCTATTTTTACCAAAGGCTTTTGGCAAATAGTGGATAATTAAGTGAAAAATAATTAAGGGGTCAGGATGATTAAGATATACTCTATATAATTTAGTGTTAGATAGAAAATGTTTGTTCGGTAATTGTTCAGAATCAACAGTCTGAATGACATAAAATTGATAACATTTTTGCCCAAATCCTTAGCCATCATTTTCTTTTGAAAAACTCGTATGACATATTGTGAACATTCTGATAAACAGTAAGCCTATTTTTCCTCAAATCTTTTGCCCCCATTTGTATTCGACAAATTGAACTTTGAACCCTTCTGCCCAAGTTGTAGCAAAAAGTATCCAATTTTTTTCTTGAAGAATGAGAGAATTCGGCCAAATTTCATCTTAAGAATGTTCTATAAAAGTCTATCAAGTATGAATTGGGCAAAATAATTAGTATGATTTGGAGAAAGTGTTTGTTCACAATTCTAACTAAACCAAATGAACCAAGTGAATCATACATGGAGTAGGATGTCAGAAGGGTAAGATGTACCGAAGGAGTAGAGTGACTGTTTCTTTGAAACTCCCCAGCTTGTAAGCTACAATTTAAGGTTACGCAAAAAACTTTGGCAAAAATTGTTCACAGTTTTTCAGAGTAAGATTTGGGTGGAAATGTTGGCAATGTGTAAAAGTTTCAATTTTTTTTCATATATAATTAATACAAAAGAGTTCAAAGTACAATACATCNTTTTTTTCATATATAATTAATACAAAAGAGTTCAAAGTACAATACATCAAAAGCATCCACAATTTGGAGCAAAAGATTTGGGCAAAGGTGCAAGTAATTTGTTAAATACAATGTTGATGTAGTGGAACATAATCTACATGGATTAACTTAATTTTGGGTGGGAGAAATCGGAGTGAAAATATGTTAAGGTTTTCCAAGTTCAATGGTTGTTATGAAACTACTTGCCAGTGGTTGTTCTAATGTAATTCACTTAATTTGACAAGTGTTAATAATGTGTGGTTCTAGTATATGTTGTAGGTGTCTATGGTGTTGAGGTTCCTTTGATCTTTTGGGGGTTGTATACCATCACGTAAACACTGAACATCATGTGCTAGCAGTAAATACTTCAAACCAGTTTTCATTTGTATGAAACAACATGTGGAAATACAGTGTTGTTTTACAATTCACATTCAAGACTGTTTTTTTACATACATAAGCCAGTGTTGAAAATTTCACAAATAAAACAACATCGTATAAACACAGCATTTTCACACGTGAAAAATTGGTTCGTATGTTTGTGTGATTTATTGGGTTTATAAATACTTATGTATGCATGGATATATATGACAACTCTTTGTTGGTGATTTTCAACTGCAATCACTCAAACCTGTAGATAGTAAGCAGGATTCTGATAGTGGAAAAGATGGCATAACAATGGTGACCTTCAAAATTAGTTTCTACCAGGCTGAGCATTGAAGGAAGCTTTGAAAACCAATTGCAGTAGAAATCTTGTATTTTACAAGCATTGAACAACCAATATTTTATGGGTAGGAATTATGAATAGTAGTCAAATTAACAATTTTATTATGTGAGTTTTCTGTGTGTGTGTGTATATATATATATTTAATAGTCATTCTTATATCCTATGTTGATATGTAGAATTCATTGACACTAAGGATGTGCTTAGTTGTACCAATGTGAGATGAAATAAAGCTCTCAAAATTTTGGGGTCAAATTATACATGTTTTTGCCTTTAATCCAGTTATACATGTTTAACTAAATTATATCTTTTTCTGTCTGATTATAATGTTGTATCTTTCACTTTATTAGCTCAATTGTAGTATCTACACTATTCCTACCCTTGAAAGTTAACCGATCACAAGTGAATTTTATATGTTACACTGAAACCCATTTTTGTGTT